AATCACGTACTTATTAACTTTGATTTGGATGCACTGACTTCAATTTTCTATAAATTCTTCATCTAAACTCTAAATTCATCAAATAATATATGAAAAGTGTAGCTAAAAAAGTTTTTTTTTCTAATTTTATTCATTGATCTTTGGTTGTTCTTTTTAAACATATGTTATGCCCCAAAGAGTGACAGTAGGTACAAAATTGACACCTTAACTTTGAGTGTGAATAACTCCTTCATAAAAACTCAAAATCATACAAAATTTATACCCAATCCTTATCTAAAAACCTAAACTTATTGAATTTAGCCTCCCAAGCTTTAATAACCTTAAAAGAGAAATCCTAATTCCTAGTAAGGCCTCAAGTAGCCTCCTTGAAGTCCATTGGGCATGGCCTTCGATCAATAGGGATGAAAATTCTCATTTCTTGCCTTCATCTGACCATGCCTTCCTTTCATCCCTCCCAATAAGCCTCCTATTAGTTAAGATTTTCATCTTTAGGTTCTAATCTCTTCTCAAGGCTTCATATTAAACATTTAGGTCCTATAATTTTTTAAATGCCATAATCAAAATAGATAAAATTTAAAATAAAGTTTCTTATATCTACTCTTTCTAAATCAATCTATTAATCATTTTAACACATACAAAGACTTATGAACATATTATATGTTCTAAATAATTTTTATATATTATAAGCAATTACAATATGACAATGGTTCCTATTATAATTGGGCAAATTTGTTTTTTGACATACTATCTTTTTTGATAGTGGTACTCTTCATTTCGTGGTTGCATCCTTTTTTTGAACAATATTGAAAAATGTCCTTAGATTTTCTACAATACAAGCACAATTTTTTCTGATGATAACAAGCATTTTCTTGCTCAAAAAGAAATTTAAAATGTATTGTATCGATTTGCAAAGCCTCTACTTCTAAGTATATGTGTTGAAAAGACATTGGCATTGTTATTGAATTATAGTAGCATTGAGGTGCACTTATACGACTTTGAGATTGAAATTCAAAAAGTCAATTGTCACTTCTCATAGCAAAATCAATTGCTTGATTCAATGTTTGAAGATCAAGTAAGTTGAAAATCATTTTTTTTACATTATATTGTAATCTATAGAAAAATTGGTTAATAAGTGCAACATTATCTCACTTGATATCAGTTACAAGTTGTCAAAACTATAAAGCATATAATGTTATCAATTGATTGTCTTGTCATAAGATACAGATCTTATTGATTGCAATACAAATTGTATCATGTTTTCTATACATGGATCAAAACTCTACTAAAAAAGCCTCGAAATTATCTAGTATTGAATGTGGTCATTCCAAAAAAGATAAAAACTATAATAATGTTAAATTTGAAAGAAGTATATCAATGAATCTAACTTATGATCTTGAAATTCGATAGCTTTAGGATTGAAGTTCAATCACAAGTTATACTTGATTGATAAATCTTCAAAACTTGGATCTTGTACCATTGAACTTTTTGAACAATGCAATTATTGGTTCTCCAATATTAGGAGGATGTTCTATACTAGGAGAAGAAATATGATTTCATACAGATGTTGAAGTAGCTTCAATCATATCTATATCTTTGCTCCTTATCATTCTTGTTGCTCCTTGAGGCAATAAATTGAGTTGATGCATTGCAAGCATTAACTCCCTGAATTGCTCTTACATTTGTACTATTACACTCTTCATTTTGAAAAGCTCTTCTAAAATAACACTTAAAGAAAGGAAGATGTCTAATATCGCTTAAGACAAATAGAAGAAAAGGCTTCAAAACAAAGAAAAAAAATGCTAAGGAGAATATCAATTTACAAGAGAATAATCTACAATTCCTAATATTCTTAAGTATTATCAAGTAAAAAGAATAATCCACTCTTAATCAAAAAAAGACAAAGCTCTGATATTATAAGTGTATTCTTGTCAATCTGTCAAGAACAAGAACTTAATGAAAGCAAATAAATAAGTAAGACTCTTTCAAAAAAATATGATGGAATAAAAATAGAAAAGTATGTTTATTAAAAAAGAAACTAAAATGGCTATTGCCAAAAGACAAGGAAACTAGAGACTCTTGAAATTAGACTAGAAACAAGAAAAGAATTGACAAGAATAAAGAAGGCTTTATTCTTGCCTCTATATATACTATCTATCTAGGATCTATGTGGCAATATTTTATAGGATCTCCAAAAACGTATTGACTTTGGATGACATGTATCATGAATTGCAAGGCAAGTTTTCTATATGGATACTACATGATTAGCTTGTTTTACAAGCTACCAACACATATGATACATGGACAACTTGTTAATCAAGTTTCTAATCTATCAATCAATTACAAATATATATAAAGTCAAAACAACATCTAAGAAGCTTTTATTAAGCTTTTTTAGAAGGTATTATGAAATTGTTCTACTTTTATCTACTTCTATGTATTCGTATGATCTAAATAATAGTTATACTAAATATAGATCTATGATAAATAATTAAATTAAAAATAAATATAATAATATTAAATATCACAAAGCTATTATAACCACTAGTTGCTACTTCTATAGGAAAGATTTCTTAAATAATATCACCAAAGATAATAGATGATTATCTATAATTTTTACATATATTAAATTAATTTTTTTACAAAAAGTATGTTATATCTTTTAACAAACTCTTCATCTAAAAAAATACTAAGGCTTGTAAATCTAATAAAATAAAGGCTTTGTAATTTTTAAGTCTTAAACTAAAATCTATTATAAAACAAAGAGATTTTTCTTAAAAAGAAACAAGACTTTGATTAGGTGTTGTATAAGATTTCAATCACTTAATTCCTATTGTAGCTGAACAAACTCATTTTTCAACATATCATCTATATTGACATTCATATTCTTTATTTTTTGGTTGTGTCATTTCTTTAGATAATATTGGATGGTATACTTAGATTTTTCGCAATATAAGTATGATCCTTCTTGATGACAACAAGTCTTTTTTTATTTAATTATAGATTTAAAATATATCGCATTAATTTACATATCTTCTACTTTTGAATATATATGTTGAAAAGACATTGATATTACTATTGTATTATAATAATATTAAGGCATATTTATGTAATTTTAAAATTATAATTTAAAATTTTAATTATCACAATTTAATAGTAAAGTTAATTTTTGATTCAATATTTAAAAATTAGGTAAATTAAGCATCAATTTCTTAAACTTATATTATAATCTATAGAAAAATTGGATAATGATTGCAACATCATTTCATTTAATATCAATTGCATGTTGTTGAAATTGTATAGCTTACAATGTTAATAATCAAATGCATCATTATAAAATACAAATCTTGTTAATTGCAATACAAATTGTATCACGTTCTCCATACATGGATTGAAATTCTACCAAGAAATCTCTAAATTATTAAATATTGAATCATGTTATTCAAGAAAAGATGAAAACTATGATAATGTAGAACCTAAAAGTAATATTCAAATAAATCTCACTTATGATCTTAGAGTTGAATAGCATTAGGATAGAAGTTCAATTACCAATTGTTCTTTATTGATAAATCCTTAAAACTTTGATCTTATACCATCAAACTTCTTAAGCAAGGCATACTTAGATTTCTAATGTTTAAACAATGTTCTACCATAGAAAAAGTAGGATGATTTGATGTAGATATTGAAGCAACTTCAATCATCTCTATATCTTCACTTTCTATCAACATTATTCTTCCTTGTGGTAAATTGAGTTAATGTATTGCCAACATTATCTCCCTAAATTGCACTTTCATTTGTGCCATTGCACTCTTCATTTCAATAAGCTCTACCATACTAATACAAAAGAATATATATATATATATATATATATATATATAATATCTCTCAAGATAAGTAAAAATAAATAAATAAATAAATAAATAAAAATAAAAATAAAAAAAATTCTAAGAACAACATCAATATAAAATTGGGCAATATACAACTTCTAATATGCATATGATTTATCAAAAAAAAGATATAATCCACTCTTAATTTTTTTTTTTTAAAAAGAAAAGCTCTAATATTAAAAGTGTACTCTTATCAATTTGATAGGAATGAGAACTCAAAAAATGCAAATAAACAAATAAAATATTATTTAAAAAAATATGACATAAGCATATTAAGTAAATATATATATTCAAAAAATTATATAATAGTCATTTCAAAAAAAATATGACATAAGCATATTAGAAATTATAATAACCATTCAAAGAAATTACATAATCATATTAGAAGTCACATAACCATGTAATAGCCAAAAGCATATCAGAAGTTGCATATTAGATGTTGCATATTGCCCAACTTATGTCTTCTATATTTAATAACTTCTAATATGCAACTTCTAATATACAACTTCTAATACTATTAAATATACTTATGTCTTATCTAATTTTTATATAACATATGTATATTAGAAATTGCATATTATAAATTACATAACTATGCAATAACCATTCAAAGAAATCACATAATCTTTTGATAATAGCTATTTCAAAGAAATCTGACATAAGCATATTAGAAGACATAAACATATTAAGTAAATATGTATATTTAAGAAAAAAAATGAATAAACATGTATATTTATGAAAAAATTAAAATGACTATTATTAAAACATAAGAAAATTAGAGATCCTAAAAACTAAATTAGAAGCAAAAAAAGAATTGACAAGAATGAGGAATGCCTCACTCTTGCCTTTATATATATTATCTAACTAGGAACTATATGATAACATTCTATAGCATGTTATCTAACTAAGAACTATATAATAACATTCTATAGCATGTCAAATACGCATCTAACTTACATGATACATATCTAACTTGCAAAAAAAAGTTTCTTATATGTACACCATATGTCTAACTTGTATCACAAGTCACCAATATATGCCACACAAATTTGACAATCCAATGCTGCCAACAACTAGATAGCCCATTGCTTCTACAAAACAATATTCACTGACAAATAATACAATTGATAGAATCAAATTAACAATTTTCTTTACATTGGCAAATGATTACAGTATTGCGCAGATAGGGCTTAACAATTACATACTGAAATAAGATGTGCCCTGACAGCAAGAAATACCTATTCCTCAAGGTAACTGGACAGGAGTAACATTTGGACAATGTGAGGAACCCCAGACGTCTCTGCGGCGTTACACGAGGAACTTGGGCCAAAAAATGTCAGCTAGAACTCAAAAGCTTCGCAAATACTAAAAAGTATTCCATGGATAGAACAGTGATAATTTCTGATCCGAACAGTATACACTGAGGTCACTCGGCAGCACCTAGTCGGAAAGCGGCGCAATCCGGGAGACTGTAAGCACGTGAAAATCCAAGCCTTGTGAGCTCTTCCAAGTGCATCCGCAATATACTTTACCGTAACCTTGACTAAAAAGGACCAGTTTCTCGCCACTGTATAGTGAACGCCTTACTCAAAGACGGGTTGGAGATTAATTCTCACAACCCAACACTTCAAGTACAGACGTAGTGAAAGCTGCAGAATAATAAACATCCAAACTTTGCCTGCCAATGGTCGAAAGTCAGGGCATCAAATGCAATCTGCGATTCCTGCTGACGTTCTATGTGAGTGACCAAGGATCTCCAAAACAGTAACGATATCCGGGTGTTCGTCCCCTAAATGCGGAAAACTCTGGCAGATGAGCCTCATCACACACTTGGCCATTTACTCAACATCCTTGAGTCCATCAGTACCTGTAAACTCCAGAAGTGCATCATCGACTGCTCCAGTGGCACCACTCTCGGAAAAAACCAAATCGCCTGCAACACCAGAATCAGCAGAATTTTGCAACTTCTTCATGGCCTCAACTAATAAATCAACATTCGAGGTCAACACCGGTGCTTCAGCCTCCAGGGCTGCATCCTCCGTCACAAGCGGCCTTCCGTCTACTACCTCTGACACGGCAGCTGTCTCCTTTGCTTCCTCCTTAACAGGGCCACCAGCCTCCTCAACCTTGGCCTCCTCCGGGGCAGGTGCAGCAGTTTCCTCCTCATCCAAATCGGCACTTGCGGCAGTCACCTCCGGCTCAGCCAAAACTTCTGGTATCATCTCTGGTATCGCATCAGCTCTCGCCATCGGGATCTCCACCTCACGCGGCTCCACCGCAGGGACCGCCTCCTCAGCGACCATCTCGGGTGCAGCCTCGGCTTCCTTCACCTCCTCCGCCACTGAGGCCTCTGGCTCTGCAGCCTCAGGCACAACCTCTGCCTCCTTCGCTCCCTCCACAGGAGCAGTGACCTCCTCAGTCTTGGCCTCCTCTTCCACTGCAGGGGCCTCTTCAACCATAGCCTCCTCCGCCTTGGGGGCCAACTCGTCCACGACCGGTGCGGGGGCAGCGTCACCCCCAACCTCGGCACTGGCGGCCACCACCTCCGGCTCAGCCACGACTTCTGGTCCCGCCTCTGATACAGTCACTGGAACCGCCTCATCGCTCGCGACCGACGGCTCCACCTCGCGCAACTCCACATCAGGGGCAGCCTCTTCAACGACCAACAAAGGCGCAGTCTCGGTCTCATTCATCTCCTTAGCAACGGTAGCCTCGAGTGCCTCGGATGCAGCAGCCTCCACCACTGCGGCCTCTGGCTGTACATCCTCAGGCACGACCTTGGCCTCCTTCGATTCCTCCACAACAGGGGCAGAGACCTCCTCATCCTTGGCCTCCGTCACAGGTGCGGGGGCAGCGCCGTCCCCAATCTCGGCACTAGCGCCCATAGCCTCTGGCTCAGCCACGACTTCTGGTACCGCTTCTGATACAGCCTCTGGTAACGCCTCCTCGCTAGCGACCGGAAGTTCTACCTCGCGAGACTCCACATCAAGGGACGCCTCCTCAACAACCACCTTGGGCGAAGCCTCGGCTTCCTTCACCTCTTCAGCCACGGCCGCCTCGGGTTCAGCAGCCTCCGCGCCAACCTCGGACTCCATCACTTCCACCACCACTGGGGCAGCGCCCTCCTCAAACTTAGCCTCCTCTTCCACTGCAGGAGCCTCTTCTACAACACCCTCCTTAAAGAACTCCACCTCCGATACGGGTGCGGGGACAGCCTCCGCCTCCACCTCGGCACTAGCGACCACTTCTGGCTCAGAACCGACTTCAAGTACCGCATCTGGAAACGCGTCAGCGCTCGCCCCAGGAAGCTCCACCTCGCGCGACTCCACCTCAGGGACCGCCTCAACAACGATCACCTCCTTCGCCACCTCAGCCACGCCTGCCTCAGATGCCTCCGATGTTCCAACCTCCGCCACTGGGGCCTCTGGAACCGCAGCCTCCGGCACAACCTCGGCAACCTTCGCATCCTCCACCACTGCGGCAGCAGCTTCCTCAGCATTGGCCTCCTCATCAACAGCTGGGACCTCCTCACCCTCCGGGATCTCCTCCGCTACAGGTCCGGGGGCAGCCTCCTCCTCAACCTCGGCACTCTCGAGCACTGCCTCCGGCTCACCCACAACTTCTGGTACCGCCTCATCGCTCGCAATCGGCAGCTCCACTTCGCGCGACTCCACTTCAGGAGCCGCTTCCTCAGTCACGCTTGCATCGGGTGCCTCCGGTGCAGCAACCTCTGCCACTGGAGCCTCTGGCGCAACCTCGGCATCCTTTGCCTCCTCCACCACTGGAGCAGCAGCCTCCTCACCATTGGCCTCCTCATCAACAGCGGGGACCTCTTCGACCAGAGCCTCCTCACCCTTCGGGGTGTCCTCCGCTACAGGTGCGGGGGCAGCCTCCTGCTCAACCTCGGCACTCTCGAACACTGCCTCCGGCTCACCCACAACTTCTGGTACCGCCTCATCGCTCGCAATCGACAGCTCCACTTCGCCCGACTCCACCTCAGGAGCCGCCTCCTCAGTCACGCTTGCATTCGATGCCTCCAGTGCAGAAACCTTCACCATTGGGGCCTCTGGCTCTCCAGCCTCTGGCACAATCTCGGCATCCTTCGAATCCTCCACCACTGAGAAAGCAGCCTCCACAGCATTGGCCTCCTCATCAACAGCGGAGACCTCTTCGACCAGAGCCTCCTCAACCATCGGGGTCTCCTCCGCTACAGGTGCGGGGGCAGCCTCCTCCTCAACCTCGGCACTCTCGAGCACTGCCTCCGGCTCACCCACAACTTCTGGTACCGCCTCATCGCTCGCAATCGGCAGCTCCACTTCGCGCGACTCCACTTCAGGAGCCGCTTCCTCAGTCACGCTTGCATCGGGTGCCTCCGGTGCAGCAACCTCTGCCACTGGAGCCTCTGGCGCAACCTCGGCATCCTTTGCCTCCTCCACCACTGGAGCAGCAGCCTCCTCACCATTGGCCTCCTCATCAACAGCGGGGACCTCTTCGACCAGAGCCTCCTCACCCTTCGGGGTATCCTCCGCTACAGGTGCGGGGGCAGCCTCCTGCTCAACCTCGGCACTCTCGAACACTGCCTCCGACTCACCCACAACTTCTGGTACCGCCTCATCGCTCGCAATCGGCAGCTCCACTTCGCGCGACTCCACCTCAGGAGCCGCCTCCAAAGTCACGCTTGCATTCGATGCCTCCAGTGCAGAAACCTCCACCATTGGGGCCTCTGGCTCTGCAGCCTCTGGCACAATCTCGGCATCCTTCGAATCCTCCACCACTGAGAAAGCAGCCTCCACAGCATTGGCCTCCTCATCAACAGCGGGGACCTCTTCGACCAGAGCCTCCTCAACCTTCGGGGTCTCCTCCGCTACAGGTGCGGGGGCAGCCTCCTGCTCAACCTCGGCACTCTCGAGCACTGCCTCCGGCTCACCCACAACTTCTGGTACCGCCTCATCGCTCACAATCGGCAGCTCCACTTCGGGCGACTCCACTTCAGGAGTCGCTTCCTCAGTCACGCTTGCATCGGGTGCCTCCGGTGCAGCAACCTCTGCCACTGCAGCCTCTGGCACAATCTCGGCATCCTTCGAATGCTCCACCACTGAGGCAGCAGACTCCACAGCATTGGCCTCAACATCAACAGCTGGGACTTCTTCGAGAAGAGCCTCCTTAACCTTCGGGGACTCCTCCGCTACAGGTGCGGGGGCAGCCTCCTCCTCAACCTCGGCACTCTCGAGCACTGCCTCTGGCTCACCCACAACTTCTGGTACCGCCTCATCGCTCGGAATCGGCAGCTCCACCTCGCGCGACTCCATTTCAGGACCCGCCTCCTCAGTCACGCTTGCATCGGGTTCCTCCGGTGCAACAACCTCTGCCACTGGAGCCTCTGGCACAACCTCGGCATCCTTCGCATCCTCCACCACTGGGGCAGCAGCGTCCTCAGCATTGCCCTCCTCATCAACAGCGGGGATCTCTTCGACCAGAGCCTCCTCACCCTTCGAGGACTCCTCCGTTACAGGTCCGGGGGCAGCCTCCTCCTCAACCTCAGCACTCCCGAGCAATGCCTCCGCCTCACCCACTTCTGGTACCGCCTCATCGCTCGCAATCGGCAGCTCCACTTCGCGCGACTCCACCTCAGGAGCCGCCTCCTCAGTCACGCTTGCATTCAATGCCTCCAGTGTACAAACCTCTGCCACTGGGGCCTCTGGCTCTCCAGCCTCTGGCACAACCTCGGCATCCTTCGCATCCTCCACCACTGGGGCAGCAGCCTCCTCAGCATTGCCCTCCTCATCAACAGCAAGGACCTCTTCGACCAGAGCCTCCTCACCCTTCGGGGTCTCCTCCGCTACAGATGCGGGGGCAGCCTCCTCCTCAACCTCGGCACTCTCGAACACTGCCTCCGGCTCACCCACAACTTCTGGTACCGCCTCATCGCTCGCAATCGGCAGCTCCACTTCGCGCGACTCCACCTCAGGAGCCGCCTCCTCAGTCACGCTTGCATCGGGTGCCTCCGGTGCAGCAACCTCTGCCACTGGAGCCTCTGGCACAACCTCGGCATCCTTCGCATCCTCCACCACTGGGGCAGCAGCCTCCACAGCATTGGCCTCCACACCAAAAGCGGGGACCTCTTCGACCAGAGCCTCCTCACCCTTCGGGATCTCCTCCGCTACAGGTCCGGGGGCAGCCTCCTCCTCAACCTCGGCACTCTCGAGCACTGCCTCCGGCTCACCCAAAACTTCTGGTACCGCCTCATCGCTCGCAATCGGCAGCTCCACTTCGCGCAACTCCACCTCAGGAGCCGCCTCCTCAGTCACGCTTGCATCGGGTGCCTCCGGTGCAGCAACCTCTGCCACTGGAGCCTCTGGCACAATCTCGGCATCCTTCGCTTCCTCCACCACTGGGGCAGCAGCCTCCTCAGCATTGCCCTCCTCATCAACAGCGGGGACCACTTCGAGCAGAGCCTCCTTACCCTTCGGGGTATCCTCCGCTACAGGTCCGGGGGCAGCCTCTTGCTCAACCTCGGCACTCTCGAACAATGCCTCCGGCTCACCCACAACTTCTGGTACCGCCTCATCGCTCGCAATCGGCAGCTCCACTTCGCGCGACTCCACCTCAGGAGCCGCCTCCTCAGTCACACTTGCGTCGGGTGCCTCCGGTGCAGCAACCTCTGCCACTGGAGCCTCTGGCACAACCTCGGCATCCTTCGCTTCCTCCACCACTGGGGCAGCAGCTTCCTCAGCATTGGCCTCCTCATCCACAGCGGGGACCTCTTCGACCAGAGCCTCCTCGGCCTTCGGGGTCTTCTCCGCTACAGGTGCGGGGGCAGCCTCCTCCTCAACCTCGGCACTCTTGAGCATTGCCTCCGGCTCAGCCACAACTTTTGGTACCACCTCTGATACAGTCTCGGGTACCGCCTCATCGCTCGCAATCGGCAGATCAACTTCGCGCGACTCCACCTCATGAGCAATCTCCTCCGGGGCCACCTCAGGGGCACCGTCGGCCTCAACCTCCTCAGCCGCGGCTGCCTCGGGTGCAGCAGCCTCTGCCACTCGGGCCTCTGACTCTGCAGCCTCAGGCACAACCTCAACCTCCTTCACTTCCTCCACCACAGGGGCAACGGCATCCTCAGCCTTCGCGTCCTCATCCACAGCGGGGGCCTCTTTGACCACAGCCTCCTTGGCCTTGGTGGTCTCCTCCTCCGCTACGGGTGCGGGGGCAGCCTCCTCCTCAACCGCGGCACTCGCGAACACCACCTCCGGCTCAGCCACCACTTCTGGTCCCGCCTCTAATACAGTCTCCGGTACCGCCTCATCGCTCGCAATCGGCAGCTCCACCTCGCGCGACTCCACCTCAGGGGCCGCCACATCAGCGAACACCTCGGACGCAGCCTCGGGTTCAGCAGCCTCCGCCACTGGGGCAGCGGGCTCCTCAGCTTTGGTCTCTTCAACCACTGCTGGGGCCACTTCGACGAGAGCCTCCTCGGGTTTGGGGACCTCCGCCTCCGCCACAGGTGCGGGGGCAGCTTCCTCTTCAGCCTCGGCACTTGCGGCAGCCACCTCAGGCTCCGCCACGACTTCTGGTACCGCCTCTGGTAACGCCTCAACGCTCGCGGTCGACAACTCCTCCTCGCGTGACTCCACCGCAGGGATCGCCACCTCCGTGACCAACTCGGGGGCAGACTCGGCCTCCATCACCTCCTCAGCCACGGCTGCCTCGGGAACCTGTGGCTCTGCAGTCTCCGGCAGGACCTCGGCCTCCTTCGCTTCCTCTTCAACAGGGACAGAGGCCTCATCCTCAACTTCGGTACTAACGGCAGCCACCTCCGGCTCAGCCACGACTTCTGGTACCACCTCTGGTACGTCCTCTGATTCCGCCTCTTGTACAGCCTCAGCGCTCGCGGTCGGCAGCTCTACCTCGCGCGACTCCACCGCAGGTGGCACCTCCTCAGCGACCACCTCGGGGGCAGCCTCAGCCCTTTTCACCTCCTCATCCACGGCTGCCTCGGGTGCCTCTGGCTCTGCAGCCTCCAGCACGACCTCGACATCCTTCACTTCCTCCTCGACAGGGGTAGCGGCCACCTTAGCCTTTTCCTCCTCAACCACTGCGGGGTCCTCTTCGACCACAACGTCCTCGGCATTAGGAGCCCCTACCTCCGCCACAAGTGCGGGGGTATCGTCGTCCTCAACCTCGGCAGTAGCCGCCGCCACTTCCGGCTCAGCCACGATTTCTGATACAGCCTCTGGTACCGGCTTATCACTCGTGATCGGCAGCTCTACCTCGCGTGTCTCCATATCAGGGGCCGCATCCTCTGGTACCACCTCCGAGGCATCATCTGCCTCCGTCAACCCCTCATTTATGGCCGGCGCTGCCTTAGGAGCAGAAGCCTCCGCTTCAGGCGCCTCCACTTCTACTGCCTTTGGCACGGCATCAACCTCAGGCTCTGGTGCATTTAGCTCTTCAACAGGAGTGGAGCTAGCTAGCTCCTCCACCTCCGGGGCCGGCTCTCCAACAACCACCTCTGGTGCAGCCTCAGTCTCTTTCTCCTCCTCAACCACGGCAGCCTCGGGCGCCTCGGGTGCAGCAGCCTCCGCCTCAAGGGGATCTGCTGCTGCCTCCCGCACGGCCTCGACCTCCTCCACTTCGTCAACAGGAACAGCCGTCTCCTCAGCCTTCGCCGATTCTACGGTAGGATCGGCTTGAACCGCTGCTTCCTCAGGCTTAGAGGTCTCTTCCTCCACAAAGGCTACAGGGGCAGGCTCACCTTCAGCATCTGCACTTGATGATACCACCTCGGATTCAGTGTTGTCTTTTGCCCCGGCCTCTCTTGAAGTCTCTGTGCTCGGTACAGGCAGCTCCACTTCGCGCGTCTCGACCTCGGGGGTCGCCTCCTCAGAAGCCACCTCCGGAGCACCCTTTACCTCCTGCGCCTCCTCATCCACTGCAGCCTCCGGTGCATCGAGTGCAGCAACGTCCGCGAGGGAAGCCTCTAGCTCCCTACCGTCTGGTGCAGCCTTGACCTCCTCCACGTACCTTCTCCACGTATCTTCTGGTCGAACAGAATCAGCCGCCTCCTCAGGCTTGACCTCCTCCAAAGCCGAAGCCTCTTCAGCCTTCAGGGCCTCCTCCGCCACGGATGCAGGAGGAGCTACATCATCTGACACCACCTCCGACAACGCCTCAGTGCTCGCCATGGGCAGCTCCACCTCCTGAGTCTCCACTTCAGGCGTCGGCTCCTCAGGTACTACCTCCGGAACATCCTCTACTTCCTTCATCTCCTCAACCACGCCTGCCTCGGGCTCCGGCACGGGGGCCTCTGGCTCTGCAGCCTCCCCCACAACCTGGGCCTCCTTAGCTTCCTCCTCCAAAGGGGCAGCAGCATCCTTAGCCTTAACCTCATCAACCACTGCGGGAGCCTCCTTGACGACAGGCTCCTCGGCCTTGGGAGCCTCCTCCTCTGTCACGGGTGCGGAGGTTGGGAGGACAGGCTCCACGGCCTCCTCCTCAACCTCGGCAATTGCGGCCGCCACATCTGGCTCAGCGACGACTTCTGGTGCCACCTCTGGTACAGCCTCTGATACCGCCTCAGCACTCTCGGTCGGAAGCTCCACCTCGCGCGACTCCACCGCAGAGGCCGCCTCCTCAGCAACCACCTCGGGGGCAGCCTCATACTCCCTCACGTCTTCATCCACAGCTGTGTCGGGTGCAGCAGCCTCTGCAACGGGAGTCTCCGTCTCTGCGGCTTCCGCCACGACCTCAGCCTCCTTAGAATCCTCCTGGACAGAAGCAGCAGCCACCTCGGTCTCGGCCTCCTCGACTGTGGGAGCCTCTTCGGCCACGGCTTCCTCGGTCTTCGGGTTCTCTACCTCCGCTACGGGTGCGGGGCCAGCTTTCTCCTCAGCATCGGCACTTGCGGCCGCCACCTCCGGCTCGGCCACGACTTCTGGTATCACCTCTGTTGCAGCCTCAGGGATCGCGGTCGGTAGCTCCACTTCGCGCGATTCCAACGCCGGGGCCGCCTCCTCAGCGACCACCTCAGGCGCAGCCTCGGCCTCCTTCACCTCCTCATCGACGACTGCCTCCGGTGCCTCTGGCTCTGCAGCCTCCGCCACGACCTCGGCCTCCTTAGCTTCCTCCTCAACTGCAGCAGCGGCCTCCTCAACAACTGCGGGGACCTCTTCGACCACAGCCTCCTCGGCCTTGGGGACCTCCTCCTCCGTCACGGGTGCAGGGGAAGCCTCCTCAACCTCGACACTTGTGGCCGTCGCCTCCGGCTCATCCACGACTTCTGGTACCGCCTCAGCGCTCGCGGTTGGCAGCTCCGCGTCGCGTGACTCCACCGCAGGGGCCACCTCCTCAGTGACCAACTCGGGGGCAGCCTTGGCCTTCTTCACCTCCTCATCCACCGCTGCCTCGGGGGCCTCTGGCTCTGCAGCTTCCGGCACGACCTCGGCCTCCTTGGCTTCCTCCTCCACAGGGGCAGGAGCCTCCTCAGCCTTGGTCTCCTCCACTGCGAGGGACCCTTCGACCACAGCCTCCTCGACCTTGGGGATCTTCTCCTCCAACACAGGTGCGGGGGCAGCCTCCTCCTCAACCTCTGGACTTGCAGCCGCCACCACAGATTCAGCCACGACTTCTGGTACCGCCTCAGAACTTACGGTCGGAAGCTCCACCTCGCGCGACTCCACCGCAGGGGCCGCCTCCTCAGCGACCACCTCGTCAACCGCGGTTGCCTCCGGTGCAACAGCCTCCGGCACGACCTCGGCCTCCTCAGCCTTACCCTCCCCAACCAATGCAGGGGCCTCTTCGACCACAGCCTCCTCAGCCTTGGGGACCTGCTCCTCCAGCACGGGTGCAGGGGTAGCCTTCTCCTCAACTGCGGCGCTTGCGGCCGCTACCTCCGGCTCAGCCACGACTCCTGGTACCGCCTCAGCAGTCGCGGTCGGTAGCTCCACCTCGCGTGTCTCCACCTTAGGGGTTGCCTCCTCAAGAAGCACCTCCGAGGCAGCCTCTGTCTCAACCACCACTGCAGGCTCGACTGAGTCTGGTGCAGCAGATTCCGCTACGGAGGCCTCTGGTACGGCCTCCACCTCCTGAACTTCTTCAACAGCAACAGCCACTTCCTCAGCCGTGGCCTGGTGCACTGCTGGAGCCTCTTCAGGCTTGGGAGTCTCCGCCACGGATGCGAGAGAAGCCTCCTTCTCAACCTCGGCACTTGCGGCCGACAGCTCCGGCTCAGCCGCATCTTCTGATACCTTCTCTGGTACCGCCTGAGCGGTCGACATCGGCAGCTCCACCTCGCGCGTCTCCACCCCAGCGGCCGCTTCTGCCTCCTTTACCTCTTCAACTACGGTAGTCTTGGGTGCCTCGGGTGCAGCAGCCTCCGGCACGACCTCAGCCTCCTTTGTTACCTCCTCGGCAGGGGTAGCGGCCTCCTCAGCCTTGGCCTCCTCCACTAGCAGAGACGCTTCAGACTGCAATAAAGGTGGTATTAGGGGAAAATCCTGACTAGAAGTGTGCTCTGCTAGTAATGCCCTGTCTTCAACCACTGAGCTCTCAGGTTCTGCAGCGGAGGCATCTTCATGTACTTCCACGGCTACTGGTGATTCCTTGTGTTCCGAAGAATGTTCGGTCACGGGTAAGAGAAGTTCAACATTCCTATCCTGTACAGTGGAAACATCTTCTTCTAGACCATGTGCTTCAACACTTTTGTGCTCTGTAACCTCAGCACGGGGTGCATCACGCACTGTGGGGCTGTCATCAGCTTTTGATGATGAAGGGAGCTCATTTACTGAAATGGTCGGATCAGGAACAACAGTGTCAAGGCCTGGCTCTTGAAAACCTCCTGCTTTCGGACTTTCTTCTGTTCCCAAAAATACATAATCTCCGCCTTCACCATTCAATGATCGCGTCTCAATTTCATCAGATTGATCACTGCCCATTGATTTCACAGTATCTGCTTCTTCGTCGGGAGTTAGTGGAAGTTCAGAAGCCTTGGTTATGAAATCTGCGATTGATACTCCTGGTGTACTTGAGGAGACTTCAAGAGGCTCCTCTCTCGACTGCAGAAGTCCTCTCTCATTCATTTGCGGTAGTGACTCCATTTTCGTACTCCCTGTGACAAGCAGACTGATTACAACATAACAAAGATAACATGGACCAAGATTTAATGCACCGTCTATAAGATGGCTGATTCACCCTAAAAAATCCTCATTTTGATGCGTGTTCAAAGAGGACGACGAAAAGCACACTTCAAAGTATCCTCTAGGTAGAATTCACACCAGCGTCATGTAATGCATAATTGCACTCTCCCGTGAACCCAGAAATATCATACTGTTAAGGAAATACGGGTAGATCACTCTTTTCACACGCGCTATATTAAGGACAGGAACACCTCACAAGTACGAATAGAAAATAAAGCTTACCTTCGGCAGAAGGTACATCCAACCTGGTGTCGCTGATATTAGGCTTGGGCACCGAGACCCATTCTGGACCTAACCCTTTTGACTGATGCACTGGGGAGACCATCTCCCAGTTTTCACCTAACGTCTCCTTGGATGCTTCTGCTCCTGGAGTTTGGTAGGACTTTGGCTCCTCCTGGGCAGCAACATTTCCCTCAGCAACCAATCTTTTGTCTCCTTTCCTTAATCCACTTCCTCCTGAAAGCTGTTCCTCATCTATTGCTTTACTAACAGGAGCAATTGGCTTTTCCTCAACGCGCCCACCAGGTGCTGTAAAACTACTGCTGGTTTTCAAAGATCTAACTTCCAGTGGTGAAGTGCTTGATGCAGCAATACTATGTCTTTTCCTCAAACCACCGCTGCTTGGTCCGGCACCGCTAATTGCAGAAAGGGTAGGTCCTCCCCTAGCCAAAAATTCATCATTGACATTGCTAACCGGACGTTGGGTTGAAATAACAGGATCGGGCGAATTCGCACCAGCCTTCGAATGCTGAAGGGACATTGGCACTCCAACTAAACGAGCAGGAGAGGCCATATACTGTGGGAGATCCTCTGATCCGCTGAGATACACGGTGTCAGGGCTTCGTGCTCCACTCGAGAAAGACCGAGCAGGGCTAACATTTGCTGTGTTGTAGACACTTGGCATCTCAGATGAAGATGCTCCCGTATCCCTCCGTCCAGATTCCGATGCAGGATAATCCAAGCCTTCTTGATCAAAGGTGACATTTGTATCAATGCCATCGTCGTCGTCGATATTCTCAACAATTGAAGCTGGAGAGGACTCTTTCTGGAAAAAAGAGGCCAGAAAATACATACAATTGTTATGGCCGCTTCTGTCCGCATTAAGATCACTAGAACTCAGATTAAGATTTTAGAGGCCACAGCGTCACGTATCGCTGATAACAATGTTACTCACCACAATCAGTACACACAACCACTCCGCCATTGGAATAAATAAAAGACTAAGAGAATCTAGATGTTGACATCCAAAGCTCAGCTATTTAGAATTTACTCAATTACAACACGCAGCAGCCTGCACTAGAAGTTTCAGATCGTCATTATGCTAGAAAAACGCAACTTAACAGAATGCAGGGACAGACATGAACCTTGGGAATCAGAGGCACCAGGGTTGTAGAATCGGATTCGGCGGCCTTTGTCTTCGAAAAGCTTGGCCTGGAAGCTGATGTTGACGACTTAACAGGAGGTTTATCAGGTCTCGCAGCAGGAATCCTTGGAGTTCTCGTGGAGCTCGCACTCTGCTCTCTACTCGCACACTTTCCTCCTCCTTTTCCCATCTTTCTAAGACAGATCTCACAAAGTAAAAACTTGGACAAACAACTTTCTGTCCCCACAAAGATTCAGAGAATCAGATAACTAACAGTGACTTACTTTCCACAACGGAGATATGGAGACAGACAGCAAGGGCTGCTACACGAACTAGGACCAGCAAAGCAATTCTTGGGTCCAACTAGCAATCACACAGTTCCATTCAGACTTTGAAAGAAAATTGCTGGTACACAGTACGAATCAAAATAAGTTTACTAGAGAACTCTTAGTCTGTGGACAGCTGCGAAACTGCAACCAAATGCGTGCACACCGATTTAATCGCAAAGCTACTATGCCGCAGAATCAGACCGAAAGTAACAAGAGGGTAGGACACATTTTGTGCCGGAAAGATCTGGAATCAACGAAGATCGAACCTGAAACACTAGACCAATATACGAGAGACTGAACTCGATTGAGAAAAGTGAACTCTGTTCCACTGCAAAGTAAAGTGGCTGGATGGACTAGGACCAAAAGACCTAGTGTAGTGTCCGCGCAAGGCACGCTAAAAGGACTATTTAAAATCGTTAAACTATGATCGAAGTAATTAGAGGTACAACAAGAACAAAACAAAATAAAAAGGGGGGGAGGGGGGGACAAATAAAATACACTTTTAAAAAATCAAAACGACTGGAATGTTCCAGATGGAGCACCGATTCGGCAGAGTATTAACTCACAAAAGTAAAGAAAAACTAGGACTCTTAACCCTTTTCAGCTGCTTCCCTGGTCCCGCGAAAATTTGTCTGTGGAACTGTAACATTTAGAACGAGAATACAAGTAAAAACTAACCGGGAAGTGGTGTTAACTAGCCTGCTACAAATGCGACACGATGTATTGCATCGGATAGGCTAAATTATTCAAAGACGTTATTAAAAGAAGGCGACGCAAAACAAGTCCTCCAAATACTGCGATCTATGAGTTTAATCAAGCTTCTTGCGTTGATAAAAGAGCAAGCACGCCTCGTGATGCAGTGCACAAACCGAAATCACACCTAATCGAGCAAACCTAAGTTGCGCTCTGCACTTGAAATCTGAAAACCAGCTTCGTATTTCTAACACGATTCCGAAAATCTAGAGACCACGGAACCAAGTCCTGGCTGCAGCGTGCACAGTAGAAAAAGTAAGGGCTAACGCACACACAATCCTTCACAAGAATCCTCACAACTCCACGCACAATGTAATCTTCCAATCCTAACCAGATTTCTCCCCGCCAATCTAGACGACCAACACAAGTACAAACACAAACGGCGGAAGCGCCGATACAAGTTTGGCCGAAATACTGAAGATGTAAAAAGACCTCTCTTCGGTGGCTTGCGCGGATCCTCCCCTGCTCACAACAAGAGAAACTCTGCAACCCAGGAGAACAGACGGATTCGAGACGAGCCCCCCGCGCCCTATCAACAGAGGTGAAGAGAGAGAGGAAAAAAATGAGGTGGGCTCATTGGAACTCCAACTCATACACGGATCCCGAGCACTCGCGGTCTGTGGCTATAGCAATGGAAAATTTGCAACGCTGGAAGGTACACTTCTACCGCCGGCTGGTTCGGTATGACTACGATGACGAGGTCGCCACGAAGGATTCGGGCAACCATTCGAACCCTTCTCTGGTCTCTCATTTACTCTCTCTTTTACTCTCTTTTTTACTCTCCGTTGTGTGTGTGCGTGTAAATGTGTGTCTTTTCCTTCCGGATTACGGCTCTTTCTTCTTCATCTTCTTCGCTCCCTCCTCCTCGTTTGCACACTCATTGCTCACCCATCGAGAATGAATGAATGAATGAATGAACGCTTCCACCGTGAAACAAACGAGAATGGAAGTAACTCTCACCTGCGAATTGAGTGTGTGTACTCCAAAAAAACACACATCGAAATTATTGATGAGCTTGTTTCCTTCCACGTCAAATCCATGGCCTTGGGAGTGAGTCAACCATTGCATTTTGCAAGGCTTTGTGGGTTCACACCTCTTCGATAGAATTTTTAGGGCATAGCTTCGTGATTTCCACCGAGCTGGCTGTTGCATGTGTTGTCACAGGTGGCTTCATTGGTACACCCAGTTCTTATTGATTTCTGTGCATTTTTGGTTGTCTCCCAAATCTTCTTTTTGGAGTTTGCTGCACTAGCCCTCTGTAGCCATCCTTAGATACTTTGTTGGGAGTACCCAAGAAACCAGTCAAATTCAAACACTTAGCTCATGTCCTTGAGAATTGCTCTCCTCGGTTCTTGTGGCATGATATACCATCTCAATCACTCGTTTTTAATAAAAAAAATAAAAGTAAAATAACGCTTTGCAATGGATGGTTGGGTCTGGATTAATTCGTGTCTTAGCTACTCTCCACCTGGGTGATTACAATATCAACACTATGGTGATTGAATCAGCATAAGTGTGACAGTAACTGCTGTTGTTTCAAATATACAAGTTATTAACCAGGTGATTTACTGAGTCCACTAGATGCATTAGTTCCATGTAGAAGAGGCCGTGGAGAAAAACAAGATCTAGTGAGACAAATAGTTTTTCAAGGGTGAAATGCACCTATTTGGTATCAATTTCTATCAACATACAGTTTTCCTATTCTAAAAATGAAAGAAAATTACATGGAAATCTTTACGGTTCAAACTTTACAAGATCGGTTAGAGATTAGAATGATAGATCAGCTGAGAATATTCTCATTGTCTCTTGGGTTGTGTGTCATGCACACAATTCTCAAGTGTGCCATGCTTGCTACTGCTGGAATGATGGCGAGGATTTGCAAATTAGAGGTGGAATGCGTTGCAAAATTTGCACTCTTCGAAGAAAGGCCGGAATGGAAATGTTGCGAAACTTGTTAATTGGGGCTTCGAGTTTGATTCAAACATTCAGGACCTTCAATATGTAAGGGTTAGTGAATTGGAATTCTGTGCACATATTCCCAACTGTGCGTACCCGGCCAGTGCGAATCGATCGTAATCTGCTTTACTCTATTACTTTTCAACTGCTGTCCCCAACCCTACTGCAAAACTATCAAGCATCGGAAAACGAAGCGCGACTAACAATCTTAGGTTTGCAGCATCCACGCACAAAAGCCATGATTTCGTCACAACATTCTACTGTACCAACACCAGCCTTGCATCTCATTGTCATCTTCTTGACCTCTCCTAAATCGAAGTCTGGGACAGCACAATAGGATTTTAGTATCACATAATCCACATCAGATTGCGTGATGGCACACAAGCACACAAGCAAAGGCGGAACCTGGACGTATCTATGAGTGAGCTTGCTATGATTCCAGATTCCATGGCGAGTCTCGGTGTCCATACAAGTTTCCACCCACTGGTCAACCAGCAACGTAGTTGTAATTTGACAACCGCGAGGTCTGGTGGTCAGAGCAATCGAACATGAGAGTTGATTCGAGTCCTCCGAAGACCAGTTCTTCAAAGTGCGATTGCAGTAGGACCAGGACAGCGATGAGCTGCGCCTTTTCTCAGCCTTTGTTTGAGAGCCATCGGCCCCATGGTCCGCCGCCCAAGGCCCTGCTTGGGACCCTCGCCTGCAAGCTTTCCCCCAAATTTATCCTCCATGGCCGCAGCACATGGCTCAAAATCGCCCGCTCTTGTCGAAGAAACCCAATCAAATGGCTTCACAGCCTGGTCACAACAGGCAAATTTTTTGTGCTTCAATTGAACGAGATCCTCAAGGCAAGTATGACCTGGTCACAACAGGCAACTTTCTGATCCAGTATCATTTTGCCCAAAAAGAAAAAAGAAAACAAAAAAATGGCGGAATTCTTCGCTACCGTCCACAGAAAGTTCCAAATTCCTACGAGGTTCCGAATTCTCAGAAACATCTCCCAGAAAGAAGGAACCACATCCGAAGCAATATAATTTTACCACCGCATAAAAAGGGACGCAGCGAAAGATGGGGCTCTTCACTGGTGCGAAGACAAAATGCAGGTGTAACTTTTTTTTTCTTCCTCTCACGTGAGGTCGGACCCACGCGACAGGAAACCAGGTGGACCACCTCCGAATCCAACCACTGCTCGGTCGCATATAAATGACTCTGTGCATGCTAGTTGTAGTGTACAGCGCACGGCAGGAGTAACTTTTTTACTATATTGCTCCAAGCAAAATATGTCTCCGAAACGGGCCCCAGGCGAAGCTTCTATCGATGCGTGTATGTCGACGAATGAGTTCCTCAAGCTCCCACTTCTCCCATCCACTTCCACAGTGATTCGTTTTGGATTTTGCAATAGCTCCCTAGAGAGAAGTGTGTGGACCATGGATTGGCAAAACTTTGGGCGACCAGTTCAGTCAGCCGTCCTGTCAAGTGCACAGAACTCATGCAATGAAATACCTCTCACAGCATCATCGGTTGTCCCCTTCAAACCTCCCACTTGAAATAACTTACACCTTACATTTTCCTGTAAAACATACATTTCTCCACCTGAAGTTCGATCCCAACAGGTTAAGAAAACACACACACACACACACACATATATATATATATATATATATATAGAATGCGAAGGGATTGCATCTACGGAACCAATACCTCCCTGGAGGCCAGCAACTCTGGCTTCGTATTCATGCCACAGATGTCAGGCTGCCACCATGTGCGTCAGAGAGGGTGTCAGGGAAGAGAAGAATGTGCATGCTCCGATCACTGCTGCTTCAACCCCCCCCCCCCCCCCCAACTGCTGAAGAGCGATGACACAGATTCAGACGGTGCCAGTGCGAGAGAGCCTTGCAAGTTGGCCGGGGATCCAGCCGTCTGCCATCTCGGAGCCCTCTGATAATGCAAGAATCAGAGCCCCTTTTGTACAAATCTCACCGTTCTCCTCCATAGCCGCTGCCCTAGCTCCCTCATAGATGGCGCCCCACTACTCCTACTACTGCAAAGTCCACATTGATAGTGCAACAATTTCACAAGTTTGCAGAGTGGAATTGCAGTTATAGGTCATGCTATTCTGCCATAAGCTCACCATGGAGCATATTTGTGAATTGATGTTAATGCAAGCATTATCTATTCAAGATTATCAAACAAATAAAAAAAAGATTAAGGCATGATTATTTTTAAGGAAAAAAAAAAAAAAAAAAAAAAAAAATCCTATTAGAACTATTTTTATAGATATCTTGATGAAATAACTTGTGCATCTTATTATTATGTGATTATGAACTACGTTTTAATATATATATATATATATATAGATATACATATGTCCACCTACGCACAAAATAGTTGAATAAGTGGTAATTTGTTTTATAGTACTACAATGATGAAGAGATGATGTTGTTTTATGTCTTTTATTGAATCTACTTTTAGTAATCAATAAATTTTCATCAAGACCTTCAACATATGTATTATTTAACATTTATAAGTTTGTGTGGATACAAAAACATATGTTTTCATGTCTTTTTCTTTTTCTTTTTCTTTTTTTTCTCTCTCTCTCACATCATAATAATACAGGCCCCATGTTTCCCTTTAAAATTTATTTTGCTCTTTTGACATCATGGGCATCTCTTCAAGAGCGGTGTACAACACTTGCCATCATCGAATAGAATTGATGTATAAGTCAATAGTTTTAATGAATAATAAAATTTACTTAAAGTGACTAATTTTCATAAACATTACATTGATTTTTGAAAAATTCATCAAGACGGTGCCTTTTGAATTATAATGACATGAGAATATATTTACTTAAAAAAAGTTTATTGTTAACGTATGCATAATTTATTTTTTTAATAAAGAGTAACATTTCTGAATTTATATAAAAGAAATCTTATTGATTCGAATCAGATATTCACATCTATGTTTTATGTTTATTGGTATTTCTTCTGTAACTATTTTAAACGATTTTTCTTTGAACTCTGTAATTACATTGAATATAAGTAATTCAACATTATTGCAGAGTTTAAAATTACAACAAAAATTAATTTAAACATTCAAAACATGCATCATCTACTCCTGTATTTAGCATGTTCTGATTTACAGGTTGACATTTCATAAGTTCAAAAAAAACAGTCTTTATATAGCTATCATATAATTCAAAAATAACTTTTTTTTGTCTTAATCTACAATAAATTTTAATATAAAAAATAACATACTCTTGCACTCAATTACAAAATATTCTTTTAAACCTCTGTACACCATTATAACTTTCTAGTATATATATATTATTTATAGATTAAAATATTAAGCATATTCTAAATTTTGCTACTGAGCAATTTGCAGAGCAAGTCAAAAAATAGTTATGTAATTGAATCAATAAAAACATCCTCTAAAATAAAATAATTATAATATAAATTAAAATTATCTTAATTATTGTGAATTATAATTATCTTTATCTTATTATTTAATTTTTTAAAATATTGTAGCTAGATATTTGGCTCTTAACATATTTTATTATCAATTTGATTATTCACTTAATATAATTATGTTTAGAGTGTTGAGTTTATCTCTTAAAATTAAACATGACTAGCTAAAATTATATATATATATATATATATATCAAAATACCTCATTGTTTCAGAATA